GATATGTCACTACATCTCACCTGGTAGGTGACCAGACTCCAAGAGACAGACCCACACTCAAGAGCATTTAGGAAACACAGATTAGACTCCATAGGCCTTTTAAAAAAAAGATAAATAATAATAGAGAACATGAAGTCAGTGGGGGGGGTAGTAAGGTAGGTGTGGAAGGGGACTGAATATAATCAAAATACATTGCATGAAATTCTCCAAACAATAAAAAACTTTAAAAACATTGTCACCGTATGAAAAAGCCAAAGCCAAGGTATGGGATGTGACGTGGTGTGCTAGCTTCTATTAACAGAAAGATCAGAGGAGTGGACAACAGATACTGCTCTCAACTGTGATGACACAGCAAAAGAAGCACATACCACACACACTACACACACCACACACACACCACACATACCCATACCACACACACCACACATACATACCACATACTACACACCACACACATCACACATACACACCACACACACCACACATACATACCACATACCACACACACCACACATCACACATACACACCACACACACCACACATACACATACCACACACACCACACATACACACCACACATACAACACACACAGCACACATACACACACCACACACATATGTACACATACACCACACACACACACCCTACATACACCATACACACACCACACACACACCACACACACCACACATACACTTTTACACACACCACCCACACACCACACATACACTACACACACCACTCACACACCACATACACTTTTACACACACCACTCACACACCACACATACACCATACACACACCACACATACAACACACACACCACACCTACACCATATACACACCACACATACACTTTTACACACACCACACATACAACACACACAACACACACCACATACCACACACACTACACATACATACCACACACCACACATACACCACACATACCCATACCACACACACCACACATACACACCACACACACCACACACATATGCACATATACCACATACCCACACCCACACCCCACATATACCATATACACACCACACACACACCACACCTACATCATACACACCACACATACACCATACACATACCACACATACACCACACACACCACACACACCACATACCACACACACACCACACACAGGACACACAAGACACACACCACACATCACACCCCACACCACACACATACACACCACACACAGGACACACAGGACACACCCCACACCCCACACATACACACCACATACACCACACATATGCACACATACACCACCCCACATACACCACATACACCATACACACACCATACACACCACTCACACACTTTACACACACCACACATACCACACCTACATCACACACACACACCACACATACACTTTACACATACCACACACACACACACATCACACTTTACACACACCACACATACCACACCTACATCACACACACACACCACACATACACTTTATACACACCACATACATACCACACACACCACACAAACCATACACACACCACACACGCACCACACACACACCACACAAACCATACACACAGCACACACATATACACACCACACACACACACACACCACATACACACACACACTCACTCTAGAACAGAGGGGACAGAAGTGACTGAAAGCAAGGCTTCTCAATGTATAACTGCTTATGCTATTTCAGTCTTTGAACCCTAAAAATGTAGTCAAAATTATTAAACTATAATATAATTTATTCCCTTATGTATCTAAAAATTAAAATCATATATATATATATATATATATATATATATATAAACTACTGTCTTCTAAAAAATAAGGCATATGTCCACTGAAGAATTAAATGATAAGGAAAAAGTATGTGAAACCCAATGAGCAAGATCATTTCCGTGGTCCTTTTTTTCAACAAGAAAGGGTAAAACCGCAGAAGAAAAATAGAGAAAAACAGAAATAAACCATTTGTAGACAAGGATCTAGAGACAACTAAAAGACAATGAAGCCAGAAATGGTGCTGCACCTTTAATCCCAGCAATCAGGAGGCAGAAAAACAGGTGGATCTCTGTGAGACTGAGGTCTATATACTGTGTTCCAGGCCAGCTGGGGCTACTGGGAGACCCGGTTTCAAAAAAAACCAAACAAACAAAAAAGAAAGATGTTCTTTCATACTTTAAAATAAGAAAAAAAGAGCTGGGTGTGACATGCCTTTAATCCCAGCACTTGGGAGGCAGAAGCAGGCAGATCTCTGAGATCAGGGCTAGCCTGGTCTAAATAGCAAGTTCCAGGTCAGCTGGGGCTACAGGGAGACCCTGTCTAAAAACAACAAAACCAGGGAGGGAGGGAGGGAGGAAAATAAGAACAAGAAAATACCATTTTCACTCTCACCCATAGATAAGGCAAGTCACTCATCCACTTTTGTTAAGACTGTACCTGGGGGACATATTGGCAGTATTTAGCCAAATATAAAGCACATAACCTTCAGCCCAGTGACTGCTGGACCTTCACCTGCAGTGCACACTAGCACAGATTCACCTGGTATGTATTATTCGAGGTCATTCCTTTCATCTCTGCTTCTAACAGCAAAAGCAAGCAGCTCAAACATGGAGCAATTAGGGCCCTGACAGATACATCTCACCACAGCCAATGGCACAGGCACTAAGAAGAGGAAGGAGTAACACAGAAATCACCAAGATGTGTCATTAAGAAAAGCGCGACGCAGCAAAGTGTACAACGCAGGCCTAAGGGCCCGGGGGCAGGAATATAAAGTGATACGTCAACCTTTGCTACAGTTTCTTTTACATTTTTATAGTTTTTGGTATTTGTTTCTTTCTTTCTTGAGATAGATTCTCACTATGTAGTCTTGGCTGGCCTGGAACTCAAGAGATCTGCCTGCCTCTGCCTCCTGAGCACCAGTATGCCCAACTTACCTCTGAAATTTTTAAATAATATATTTGAAGTATGTTTTGAAAATCCCTTGCCAAATATTTACCAAAGAAAAGAGGTTCTTAATCATATCTACATTTTCCAAAGTATTTCTGTGTAACAACAGAATGATGGGACAAAACCATTTCTAATCAACAGCTTAAAACCAGGAGCTGGGGTGCAGCTCAGTGGTAGAATACCTGCTTAGTATGTGCCAATATCTGTGTGTGTGTGTGTGTGTGTGTGTGTGTGTGTGTTTCTGTCTGTCTGTCTGTCTTTGATAGCTTTAGTTGTCAACTTGACACACCTAGGTAGAGGGAATCTCAGACGAGGAATTTCCTCTATTGGATTGGCCTGTGGCCATGTCTTTGAGGCATTTTCTTAATTGGTGAGTGATGTGGGAGGGCCCAGGCCACTGTGGGTGGTGCCACCCCTAGGCAGGTGGTCATGTGTTGTATAAGAAAGCAGGCTGAGCACAGTTCCTGCCTTGGCTTCCCTTGATGATGGACTGTGCTGTAAACCCTTTCCTCCCCAAGTTGGTTTTGGTCAGTGTTTTTATCACAGCAATAGGAAATTAACTACAACACTCGTGTGTGTGTGTGTGTGTGTGTGTGTGTGTGTGTGTGTGTCTAAGACTGTTCTGTTTGTGTGTCTCTGTCTTTATGTGTCTGTCTATATCTGTATCACATCACACTTTAGCTTCCCCTCAGCTGTATTTGCAAGCTGGTAAGACACAAGGAGCACAATGTGTAACTCTGCTAGAGTCCGTGTATTTGCTGTCACACGTACACCACTCCAACTGCAGTGGAGCTGGGAGACACCATCACTCTGACCCCTTTACCAACCTCGTCCTCTAGACTTCAGTTTCCATACTAGTACAGTATAACACCTCTGTGCATGGCAGATGGATGCTGTTGGATCATTCTACAACTATGATTTGAGCTTAAAAGCAATACAACTTCTAAATATATGTTTAGAAGAAAGCTTGATCTAGAAATACAAACAAGCTCAGGCTGCTGCTATGCTGTTTTTCTGAGTTCTGGAGAACACAGAAGAAACAGTCATAGCTACACCCAGAAGTAGCTCAATTTTCACTGCTGCTGCCGCTGTGAGGATGCTGGGGCTGGAACTCAGGACTTCATGCCTGCCAGGCCAACACCATATTAAGCCACACCCTCAGCCCAACTTAGCTAAATACCCACAGGCTGAAAATTCATTCAAACCAAAAGAATTAATTTCTGCTAAATTAAAAAAAAATCCCTAGATATATGATCTGAGTTCTATATTTTTATTTTTGTGTTCTATAAGGCCATAATAGGAACAGTCAAGCCTTGAAATGTGCTGTGGTCCTACTTAGGCAGGCAGTAAGTGACGCTTACTTGGAGCTGCTACAAACTTGCCAACAGAGTAGAGGTCAGGAGCAGGAGTAGCAGGCAAGCAGGCTGCAGTGGCAGTGACAAGATTATCCCGACAGCTAGAAACCTTGTGTGTTCCATCATCCGGCAACAGTAACTTCACATTCTTCCCTGTCTGTAAACCTACAGTTGCGTCCCTCCCCACAACACAGAGACTTCTGTGCAGGTCAGAAATAATACATCAAATATCTTGTATGGTATGTGAGTGCCAGGGAAAGGCAAGTGCCAGTTTTTAGTTTTCTGTCCATTTGCATCAATAGAATATCTGTCCCTTTATCTGTTCTCTTTGGACTGAATGGAAGCTACACGAGAAGTAGGCCAAGTATATTTAATATTTCAAACCAAACAAGTTATTTGCTTAAGATAGTTTGGCCAGCCTCATCATACTTGGCACTAATATGCAGCCCGGTGGTTCCAGGAGGAATTAAACACCAGTTTTAATGGGTGCCATGTTCTAATCTCTACTAATGTACAGAGGGTTATTGGCCAACTTCTTCATTTAAAGGCAGGAGGGAGTGTGTGTGAACATGTGTGTGTGTGTGCCCATGTGCATGTATGGAGGGACTGCAGGCAGAGTGGCCATAGATGCTTCCCTTTTGAGAAGCTTTTATTCCTTAATAGGGAGGAGGGTTGCAGTTACTCACCATCCTCATAAGCTGCCACCGCCAGTGAGCTGTTGATCCTTACAAAGGACACATATGGCTGCATTCCAGGCTCATCCTCCTCAGACTCTGATTCCAGGAAGGGGGCCACATAGTCCCAGGTGCGGGTGTCCCACACCCTCACGTCCCCTGATGTGTATCTGGAAAAGAAGAACATACTTGGTTCCAAAAGGGAACTGAAGAGAAAATGGGAGGCCTTAAAACAACAGAGCATGGGCTGCTGGGCAAAGTACTGCTCCTGTAGCCCTGTCTGGATGACAGAAGGCTGTGGATATGACTCACTCTCATAGCACAATGCTGACAACTTCTTAAATTGCAGAAACTGCAGTAAAACCTGAGCCCTGAGACCAAGGTTCCTCTTTGCTCTGTTACATACGCTGTCTTCTCCAGGGATCATGAGCAGAAACCTGGGTGAGAAGCAGTATTTACACACAAGCACACATATGTGTGGTGAGGACACTAAGAACTCACCATCCTACAGGCTCAGGCTTCTAATACTTCACCCATAACAGCAGAGCTAACAGAATAAAGTCCCTAAAGGCTAATTGATTTGCTGAAACAATTAAATATTGCCTGTAGCAGCCCGGCAGTGCTGCCTCCCCATGAAGAGCTCTGGCCAAAGTGAATGGCACTCCTGCTCCACCCACAGAAAAGCAAAAGCATATGACTGTTCATCAAAGCAGGCCCAGGCCCCACTCAGACATGAGGCCCCTAGGACATAGGGTGGCCAAATGAAGAGGTGTGGCACTGCATGCCACAAGGGACCTAAGCTCCTCACGCTCCACTCTTCCAGTCAGAAGCTAGTAGAGTGGCAGGCTGAGGAGAAGCACTTTCAAGAGCCTGGTGGTGAGCCCACAGCACAGGGAAGCTGGTGGCTGAGAAGGCTCAGTCTCATGAGGCCCTCCCTGGCCACACTCCTACAGTGTTTCACTGCAAAGTCAAGACCTATTTCATCACTGAAATCTAATATATGACATGTGTATGAGACAGCTATTGATCAATCTCAGATAATACACCTACACTTTTGTGTGAATGTGTGTGTGGGGAATGTGTGTGGAGGCCTGAGGACAACTTTGTGTAGTCAAGTCTTTCCTACCACCTTACACAGGTTCTGAGAATCAAACTCAGGTTATTAGAATTTCACAGCAAGGTGAGATTTCTTAATAAGACAACTATGAATGCTCTGATTCAAGAGCATTTTGTTTATAACATGCAGCAGCACCTCCCAAAGCATTAATCCACAGTAAATGTATATAAGCCACAACTCTTCCTGTCACACTAGTTCTTTAGGTTCCTGAGCTTGCATATTCTCATTCATATTCTCTCTCTCCCCCTCCCCTCCCCCCCCCCCCCCCCTCCCCCCCCCCCCCCCCCCCCCCCCCCCCCCC